GCGAGTGAAGTGGTTGAGTAAGCCATTGCCGCTTGATTTTCGCGAAGCGACACTCTTAAGTCACCGATAGGAACTTCGGTGCGCAGCGCGACAATTCTGGAAATCGGTCGACGAGAATTGCTGAAAATCACTCCGGCGACTTCGTCAAAATGCCGCTGAGAACGAAATGGCGTCGACGGAAATTCGTTAAAACGCCGACTTGAAACTGAATCTGAGACTATGTCTAACCCCGGACCCCCACACCCCCAGGCCCTATCCCGCAGCTACACAGCTCCGCAACCAGCTCCGCAACCAGCTTCACCACCAGGTCCAGAACTAGCTCCGCTCTGCTTCCACTTGTATACCTGCTCTTGTTTGACGCGAGACGTTCGTGGAGGCAATTCCGCGAGGGGATTTTGCCTATTCTGGCGGGATCCGAGGGGAAACTCGAAAACGAGTTTTAAGAGATGGTCGAAATTGAGATTCGACCAAGGAGAACCAAAGAGGAAATCGATGATGGGAAGTGTGAAAGTTTTCGAATTGAGAAATTCAACGAGGTTGAGTACGAAGGCAGTGATGGGGATTCAATGTGTCTTCAAGTACCGTCAGAATACCACAGACATTGGACTTGTCTATGAGGCTGGAAATGCAGTACTGCTGGGATACACCGACTCTGACTATGCGAACGAGGACAGGTGTCATTCCATTGGAGGCTATGTGTTCACGCTAGGAGGGGCAGCTGTTAGTTGGAGAACTAAGAAACAAGCAGTGATTGCCACATCAACAACAGAAGCAGAGTACATTGCCATGTTTGAGGACGTTAGGGAGGCAGCCATCTGCGACAGCTGTGTGAAGACTTGGGTTTACCACAGCAAGAATCAACTGTTCTCTATGTGGATAACCAAAGTGCCATTGCTCTTGGCACTGGGAGCAGATGAGCCAGCGGATTAAACACATGGAGGTGCGATACCACTGGAATAGAAAGGCGATTCATGATGGGATGGTAAGGCTCGAGTACTGCCCTACCACGCAGCAAGCAGCAGACTACTTGACCAAACCAGTGATCGCACAGCAGCATCTCACCTGCAGCCTTCTTAGCGGCCTTCAACCAATTCCTCATGGCACGACATCTCAGCCTGTGCAGGCCAAGGCTGCTATACCATGTGAAGCATCGTCATACCATGATGAGCACCTTCACCTTCCTTAGGTTCACTGATGCACGTGAGCATGAGTGCAGCACTTTGCTCACCTGTGATGAGGAGATACGTGTCGTCTCTCTGCCCGTTCGCCTTGTGCACCACGCCGTTGCATGGTATGCCTACACAAGGCATAGGGAGTAAGCAGAGCGGTTTGTCATCAACCATGAAATCTGCCATACCGAAATCTCTGCATGGTTCTGCACTCACTGCCAGCAGTTGATTCTGCAAGCAACAATTGATGCTGCCAGCAGCAGTTGATTCCACAAGCAGCAGTCAATTCCGCCAGCAGCAGTTGATTCTTCAAGCATTTTGGAGAAGTAGCAGCAGGATTTCGTTCATTGCAGCTCCATTTCGCCATGATGCAGCTTCATTTTGACATGCTGCAGCTCCATTTCGCCATGCTGCAGCTTCATTTCGCCATGCGGCAGCTCCATTTTGCCATGCTGCAGCTCCATTTCGCCATGTTGCAGCTCCATTTTGCCATGGCTGCATATCCATTTCGACATGACTAAGTTGCAATTCGCCAAGCCTAAGCTGCATTTCGCCATGCACCATTTCGTTCACCCACAGCCACAATTTGAAATAGCAGCAGCAGAAAATTGCCAGCAGTGGTAGAAAATAGAAATGCTCAAGGGAAGCTGTCATTTCATGCAGCGGCTGGATCTACAATCTAAGAAGCAGCATATCGATTTTAAGAAGTGTTAGGGAGAGGGGAGCAGGTCGAAATGAGCTTGGATCTGGCCTAAGTTGAGCTAAAGCTAGGGGGAGGATGGCTAAATTCGTGAGTTGCGGGGAAGGAAGCTGAGATCGCGTTGGTGGTACGCGGTGAAGAAACCAAACCCTATCCTGGGGGGTGTTCGTGCAATAGTTCGAGTGTTACGAAATATAACTCAGAGTATAGCGCAGAATACTATAGGGGAGCGTGACTACAATGTTCTAACAATGAAAGGCCTAGAACTTATATAGTGCTAGTTGACCAGGTTGAACCTCGAGGGTTGGACCAGTCAAGGGCTCAAAGGTCGCGAGGGCGACGGGGTCAAATTGGTTTCGGGGCACCTTGGTAACAGGTTCGGGGCCGATTAGGTCGGCGAGGGTGGTTTGACGCAAGACTTCAGGGCCGAGGCTGCAAACGCAAACTGTTCGCGGTACTCGATGTGGCGAAACCCAGTAAACTTTGGAACAGTGTCGAACTCCTCCAGCTGTAACCAAACTCGTAATATACTCTGGTACGCTTGACCTGCTGGCCGTGCAGACGTTCACCCATCTCGCGACTGCTGCAGATTACCCAACTGCTTTGCTGCTGCTTAACTAACTCCGCTAAATCCTGCACTGTCAGAGGCGTGGAGGGCACACAACAAAGTCGGCTAGACTAAAGAATTCCTCGCACAACCGCTGGACACCTCCTACCTCCCGACGTGCCAGGGTGAGACACTCGGAACCTTGCACCTGCAAAAGCCGGAAACTCCTTCTGCTACACCAGGTGAAACCGTCAGCTCCGCTGCTGCCGTTCTCTCCTAAAATTTTGGGGACACCCCTCAGCACAGTCTAGATTGAAGGTTCACTCCCCTTTAACCATGTGTGGACGACCCATAGTCGACATGACGACATGGTGGGAATGGTGATATTCGGGCGACGAAGCTCCGTCAGCAGGGGATCCGTAGCTGCCTGACGTTTAACAAAAACCCAACTTCTTCCAGTCGTTTTCCTTCGAATTGCTTCTGCTTTTGCCGGTTTTACGCTTGCGGCGCCACTGTGGAAAACACTTAATACACACTCGAGGATGGTGGCCTCCGTTTCCGTTGATCGTGGGGGTATGACCGCTGCCACGAAAACGCCTCTCTCTTCAGGAAGTCGCCCCCACTGAAAGTTCCAGAACAGCTCCATCCCCTCCATGCGAGACAGCACATGTAGGAAACGCCGATGTAAGTCTTCCTCGTGCTCCTGTTGTCTGGCTCACCCACTCCTGAGACATGTGATCGTGGCCTCCTTAAATAATCGCAGTCGCCCTTTGCCGCAACAGCTTCCGAAGTTCCGTCCATCGCCTGCAACTAGCCTGCCGGAAACGCCGACGCCAGCGACGCAACTGCACTTCACCATGCAGCTACATGGCACGACAGACACACATCGTCGTACGACCCGCCATTTTTTCCCATTCGCGCGCTCTTGACGACCATCACCCGGCCGCCCGAGGATTCCCGCGCGCCTGTCTTCTCCTGACGACGCCTATCTTCTCATGACGAAACCAAACCGAAAACGCCGTTAGAACCTTCCGAAAATCACGAAACACTAGCCAACGTATCCGAAAAACATGGCGAAAACGTCGACACTGTCACGATGGATAATAATTCCGTCTACGCCCGGGGAAGGGGAGGACTGGCTAATCCCAGCCGTCAATCTGACACGATTCGGCGGCATCGGAAGCGCTACACCGCCAGCATCCTTCCGCCCCGTTCCCCGATAGGGACTGCTCCCCTATCGGAACCTAGATGGGTAGAATTGTGGCTCTGATACCAACAATTATGAAATATAACTTAGAGTATAGCGCATAATACTATAGGGGAGCATGACTACGATGTTCTAACAATGCAAGGCCTAGGGCTTATACTGTATAGTGCTAGTTGACCAAGTTGAACCTCGAGGGTTGGACCAGTCAAGGGCTCGATAGTCTCGAGGGCGACGGGATCAAATTGGTTTCGGGGTGCCTCGGTAACAGGTTCGGGGCCGATTAGGTCGGCGAGGGTGGTTTGACGCGAGACTTCATGGCCGAGGCTGCAGACGCGAACTGTTCGCGGAACTCGATGTGGCAAAACCCAGTAAGGATTTGTGAAATCCTTACATCGAGCATTCCTCAACCCAGCAGCAGCTGCTACACTTCCCTACAATTTGCAACATCACTAAATCTGAAGCAAGGGGGAGTGTTAAAGATACAACAATTGAAGTTATATGCTGCTAGATTTTAGGGATATTACACTCCTCCTTATAAGAATTTCCTAGGCTCTAGAACCTACAATTATTCTCGGGATTATTGTCGGATGGGAATTATTGGAGTCCAAGGCTCTTGTGGGAGTCAAACTTCCCTTGACGCAATTATTGCCACTCAATATTTGAGTTGGCATTATTGGAGTGCTTGACTCCATGGTGGTCCCTTCTTGGGGTCTTGGGGAGGAGAAGCTCATGCATAAATCACCTAGTTTGTGAAGCCCATTTCACTTCTTCAATGACAAGCTTTCTTTCCACAACGTTTGATCGTTTCCGCTACGCCGGCACCATGCTTTTCTAACACCTCCAACGCTGCTGCTGTTGCAACCATCGCTGTTGCTGCTGGCATCAGTTTCGCCTCCGCCATAGCGGAGGAATCTGCTACCTCGGACGAGCCGGATGCCGTCGATGCAGCTTGCGAAACACTAAGTCCTTGTAACAAAGGGCTTGATAGCACAACGAAAATCTTGAGTGAATCCTTGTACTAGTATGTGAGAACAAGTGATTGATTATAGCAAAGGGATACATAGGCTTATATAATAATACAAGAGAATACGAAGAGTCTAACTGATTATGCACTTCGAGGGGTACATTCCCTTTTACAACTCGATAAGGGCGACTCGGGTAACCACCCATGCTTTAATACCGGGACGGTTATTTGTCCTTGCTGTCACGCTGACTTGACTCTTGTACCTCTGACTGCTGGGTTGCACGGTCAACGGTTGCAACCATTGCCCTTTCGTAACCTCTTCTAGGTGTCGTCAACTGTCAGAACCGTCGGAGGTAATGTAGCAGAGTTTGACTCGTTGGTCCTCGATGTTGTGGTCTTTGCGTATTGTTACTGCACGCGAAACTCTTGAAATGCGCTTAGGTTTTCCCTCTCTCTCTCTCTCTCTCACTCTCTCTCTCTCTCTCTCTCTCTCTCTCTCTCTCTCTCTCTCTCTCTCTCTCTCTATCTCTCTCTCTCTCTCTCACTCTCTCTCTCTCTCTCTCTCTCTCTCTCTCTCTCTCTCTCTCTCTCTCTCTCTCTCTCTCTCTCTCTCTCTCTCTCTCTCTCTCTCTCTCTTTCATTTCCAACACCCTCGTTCATTTCTTAGTATCGATGTGGTCGAGTCGAGCTTGCTGACTTGTTGCAGTCCAGTCAGCAACATGCAGTACTGGAACTTCAACTTCATCAGCTTCTTGGTCAAGAAGTCGGCTGCCATTTTGGTGGTGGGGCAGTAGGCCAATTAAAGACGTCCCTGCTCGATCTCGTCTTTCACGAAGAAGTAGCGAAGCAAAATGTGCGTCACCCTGTTCGCGAATCCATTTTTGTTGGTGATTCTGATCGCCGATTGGTTGTTGCAGAAAAGGGAGAAGCTTGGTAATTCAGCAATCTTCACTTCTTGGAGCAGCTCGCGCAAGGAAAGTCCTTTCTTCGTAGTTGTGCAAAGGGCAATAAATTCAGCTTCTGCAGATGAGAGGGCGATTAGTTCTTGTTTTCCCAAGTGCCAGGAGATAGTGCTGAAAGGCTCCAGGCGATGGATGTAGCCAGTGCAAGAGCGCCTACTGTCCTTGTCGCCGCCGTGATCGGCGTCGACGTAGCCGATAAGTTCCGTCTTGGTCGTGGCGTTCTTGTGGTAGGTGAAGCTGATCGTCGGGGTCAAAATAAAATAGCGGAGTGCGCGATCGAGTTCCTGCAGATTCACCCCTTTAGGTCGCTTAAGGTACGTAGCGAGCTGACTAGCAGCATAGGAGAGATCAGGACGGCACGAGACGCTGGCGAAGAGCAGACAACCCAGCTTCCAATGGTATTCCTGAATACTGGCCGAGGCAAGTAGTGAAGGGTACGGAGTAGTGAGGTGCATTGGAGAGAGATCAAACCGCTGAGCGATGTTCTCGGCGTACTTGGAGGCCGAAAGGTGGATGGTGTCGGGGCCGTCGGTGAAGTTGAGCCCCAAGTACTGCATCACGATAGCTGATACCGTGATGGTGAGCTGTAGCTTGAGTCCGCTTTCGAACAAGATAGTAATGGAGGTGGTGGAGCTCTCGTAGAGAAAACCGTCTACGTAGACGATGAGTAGCACGTAGTCGCCAATACGGGAGAGGCGGTACATGCCCTCATCGTGGGGCAGTTGGGTGAAGCCCATGGCGGTGAAGATGCGGTGCAGGTACTGCTGCGAAGTCTTGGGACTATGGGCAGTCAAAGGTTATGAGTATCGAGCAGTACTAAGTCTCCCGCTTGGTAGGTCACTGCCCGTCGGTATAGGTCTGCGTTACGCTTAGAAATAACGTTCACGTGCTTAATGGATTTTGTTGCTCGCTCCCAGGCATTCTATGATATTTCAGCGAACTGTTGGGCTCTGGGTACGAGACTGTCGATGTTGGGTGTGATGAGTACAGTAGGGTTTTGTCTATAGTTGAGGTAACCTGGTGACTGTCGGATAGTGGCTTATGGGGCATTGTTACATGCAAACTCAATCAGTAGCAGTTGCTGCCCTCTGTCGACCACCTCATCGCAGGTGGCGCGAATCAACTGCTTCATTGTCTAATTGGCTCGTTTGATTTTTCTGTCAGTCTTGGAGTGATAGGCTGAGGAGAACTGTAGGCACATGCCAAACTGATCCCAAAGGTTGCGCCAGAAGTTGCTCGTAAATTTTGTGTAATGATTGGAAATTATGGTGGATGGGATTCCGTGGAATCAAACGACAGTCGAGATGAAAAGGCAGGCTGTTTCTTCGGCTAAGATGCTTTTCTTGCAGGTGATAAAATTATCCATCTTAGTCGAATTGTCGATGACGACAAATATCGTGACATTGCAGCCGTCCTTGGCAGGCAGTCCTGTGACGAAATACATCGTCACCTACTGCCAAGCACGCTCAGGGGGTGGAATCGGCTACGACAGTCGAGCTGGCTTCTGCTTTGAAGACTTCCTGGTTTGGCAGGTTTTGCATGAAACCACTGTCAAACATCTGTATTTGTCATGTTTGTATAGACTGTATAGGGTTACCTCTTAGAGGGTACAACACTTAGATATATTTGTGTGTACTCTCACTTGACAATCATTCAATTCCTATTCTGATATGGTATCACGCGTAGGTAGGATCCCCCCCCACCTACCGCTTCCGCTCATGCCCCCTAGCGCCCCTCTCAGGCCCCGTCGCGCTCCTCCCAGGCCCCCTAGCGCCCCTCCTGGGCCCCGTCGCGCTCCTCCCAGGCCCCGTAGCGCCCCGTCGCGCCCCTCCTGGGCCCCGTAGCGCCCCTCCTGGGCCCCGTAGCGCCCCTCCTGGGCCTCGTCGCGCCCCTCCTGGGCTTCGTAGCGCCCCTCATGGGCCCTGTAACGCCCCTCCCAGGCCCCGTCGCGCCCCTCCCAGGCCCCGTCGCGCTCCCCCCAGGCCCCCTAGCGCCCCTCCCGGGCCCCGTAGCGCTCCTCCCAGGCCCCGTAGCGCCCCGTCGCGCCCCTCCTGGGCCCCGTAGCGCCTCTCCTGGGCCTCGTCGCGCCCCTCCTGGGCTTCGTAGCGCCCCTCCTGGGCCCTGTAACGCCCCTCCCAGGCCCCGTCGCGCCCCTCCCAGGCCCCGTCGCGCTCCTCCCAGGCCCCCTAGCGCCCCTCCTGGGCCCCGTCGCGCTCCTCCCAGGCCCCGTAGCGCCCCGTCGCGCCCCTCCTGGGCCCCGTAGCGCCCCTCCTGGGCCTCGTCGCGCCCCTCCCAGGCCCCGTCGCGCTCCTCCCAGGCCCCCCTCGCGCCCCTCCTGGGCCCCGTCGCACCCTGCCCGACCCCGTCGCAGCCGCCAGGCCCCGTCGCGCCCGCCCGGCGCCGTCGCAGCCGTCCGGCCCTGTCGCGCCCGCTCGGCGCCGTCGCGCCCGCCCGGCCCCGTCGCAGCCGCCTGGCCCCGTCGCGCCCGCCCGGCCCCGTCGCAGCCGCCTGGCCCCGTCGCCCTTGCCTGGCCCCGTCGCAGCCGTCCGGCCCCGTCGCCCCCGCCCGGCCCCGTCCCCACCGTGGTCCCCCGGTTACCCCCCCCCTGTTCCTGGTCACCCCTTCCCCGGTAGTCCCTGCCCCTCCTCCTCCTCCTCCCCGTCCCGCCCCCTCTGGTGTGTCCCACGTCACCCCCCTTCCGTCCGTGGACCCGGTTGAGGAGTCTTCTGACTCTGGTGGCCCTCCTGTGCAGTCCTCGCCGGCCGCCCCTCCCCAGGTGTCCCCTCCCTAGTCCCCTCCTCCACCGCCACTACCGCTGCTGCAGCCGTCGTCGTCGCCGCCGCCGCCAGCGCCGCCGCCGCCATCGCCTCCGCCGCCGCCGTCGCAGCCCCCGTTCGCTGACTCTTGGGGTGCTCGTCCCGGTCGCCCTGGGGGTGGTCCCTCTGGGGGTGCTGGTGTGGAGAGTGCCGGTGGTCGCCGAGGAGCAGCTTGCGGTCCAGGTGTCACCGTTGTGCCGCCGCAGCAGCGGTCCCCGCCGGTGTCCGCCCTTCGCCTGCTCGGCCTTCCGTCCCCCGACCCTGCGTCGGTTCCTCCCAGACCGTCTCCTCCTCTTCCTGTCTACGGCCCTGTTTTCCCTCCGCCGGACTCGTCCCCGGCTCGTCTCCCCCCTCGTTCCCCTCCTGTGTCCCCTCCCCTGTCTCCTGACCCGACTCCTCCGTCGCACGTCTGGTCTCACCGCCCCTCCCGTGCTCGTCCTGCCTCGCCTGTCTTGCGCTCCCACCCTATGTTGCTTCGTTCCCACGCGTCTCGTCCTCCCCTTCTCCCGTCGCCTCCTCCGTCCTCCCTTGTTGTTGCGCCCCCCCGCTGTCCGACTACCTTCGTGCCGCTCGTCCTCTCGTTCCTCGGGTCCTTGCCTCTCTCGTTACCGACCCGTCTGTTCCGGTCTCGTGCCTTGACGCTCTTGTCGTTGCTGTCGCTGACTTCGCCTCTACCCACCGCCTTGACTACGCCACCGCTCTGGTCTCTGACCCTGCCTGTCCTCCGTCTGTCGGGGGTGCTCCTGCCCTTGGCAGTGACGTCCTGGAGGACCGCCAGTTCGAGCTTGCTTTCCTCTCCGAGGCTGCTCCCCATCTCTGTTCCATGCTGCTAGTCCCTGAGGGTGACCCAGACGCTTTCGACATCCCGACCCCTCGCACTTACGCTGAGGCGACTTCGGGACCCTAGGCCTCACAGTGGATAGCTGCCATGGAGCAGGAGATGGCATCTTGGAGATCCACCGGCACCTTCGTCGACGCAGTTCCCCCACCTGGGGTGAACGTAGTCGATGGCCGCTGGCTCTTCAAGGTGAAGCGCCCTCCTGGAGAGCCGCCTGTCTTCAAGGCGCGCTATGTGGCTAGAGGCTTCAGTCAGCGCGAGGGGGTGGACTTCTTCCAGACCTTCGCTCCGACCCCGAAGATGACTACTCTTCGGGTTCTGTTACACCTAGCTGCTCAGCGTGACTACGAGCTTCACTCCCTCGACTTCTCCACTGCCTTCCTTCAGGGCAGCCAACACGAGCAGGTCTACCTGCGTCGCCCTCCGGGCTTTACTGGCACCTTCCCTCCTGGGACCCAGTGGCTCCTGCGGCGCCCCGTCTACGGCCTGCGCCAGGCTCCTCGTGAGTGGCACAACACTCTCCGTGCTACCCTTGCTGACCTGCAGTTCTTTCCGTCTTCCGCAGACCCTTCACTCTTCGTTCGTGCTGGCCAGACTCCGTTCTACATCCTTGTTTACGTCGACGACCTGGTCTTTGCCACGGCAGACAGGGACGCACTGGCCTCCGTGAAGGCAGAGCTGCTGAAGAGACACACCTGCACTGACCTTGGAGAACTGCGCCGTTACCTTGGCTTGCAGATCTCCAGGGACAGAGCTGCGCGCACCATCACCCTGACTCAGTAACACTTGGTGCGCCAGGTCCTTCAGAGGTTCAGTCTTCAGTTCTCCTCTGCACAGCCCACCCCTCTGCCTGTAGACCACAGACTCTCCGCTCCAGTACCTGAGGAGTTGGTAGAGCCCAGCGGCCCCTACGCAGAGCTGGTGGGTTGCCTCATGTACCTGATGACTTGCACTCGCCCAGATCTCGCATACCCTCTCAGCATCCTGGCGCGCTTTGTGGCCACAGGCAGACACCGACCGCAGCACTGGTCTGCCGCTAAGAGGGTTCTGTGTTGTCTTGCTAGTACATCGGGCATGGGGTTAGTGCTTGGAGGACGCAGGCCAGTGGTCCTTACTGGACACACAGACGCTTCGTGGGCAGACGACGCTGAGACACTCAGGTCTACCCAGGGCTACTGCTTCAGCCTTGGCTCAGGTGCCGTCTCGTGGAGAGCTACTCGCTCCTCGTCTGTTGCGCAGTCCAGCTGTGAGGCTGAGATCTACGCGGGTGCCATGGCGGCACAGGAGCTCCGCTGGCTGACCTTCTTGCTCACTGACTTAGGTGAGCGGCCTAGCTCTGCCCCGGTCCTGTTCGCTGACAACAGGGCCATGATCCTCCTTTGTCAGGAGCCTCGACTCGAGGGCAGAGCGAAGCACATTCAGCTGCGGTACTTCCTCCTGCGTGAGCTACAGCAGCGACGTCAGGCTCGCGTAGTACACTTGGCCTCAGGTGCCAACACAGCTGATATCTTTACGAAGGCGCTTGCACCTAAAGATCATCAGCGGCACTGTGTACAGCTTGGTCTAGTTCCTGTCACTTCTCACTTGCTAGGACCTTGACTTGTACTGTCCTTTATATGTATACTCAGACTGGACTTGTGTCCTCTCCCAGTGGCTGGACTAGTAGTGCCGCCCTGGTCTTGTTCTTGCCTTGTCTGTACTCCTTCTGACTGGTCTCTCAGACCCTTGTCTCAGAGGTTGGACTAGTAGTGCCGCCCTGAGCTGCTTGTTTAGGGTATTCCCCTATGCAGTCTAGGGGGTGTGTCAAACATCTGTATTTGTCATGTTTGTATAGACTGTATAGGGTTACCTCTTAGAGGGTACAACACTTAGATATATTTGTGTGTACTCTCACTTGACAATCATTCAATTCCTATTCTGATAACCACATGCCGCTGCACGTCCCCATGCATGTCGGGCCATAAATAATATATGGTCAACTGTTGCCGTATTTTGTCCACTCTGAAGTGCCCTGAAACAGTACTGTCGTGGGCTTCCTGCAGTAATGACTCATGTGATAGACTGTAATCTGGTACCCAGATGCAGTTAGTCCCTATCTTTACATAATAAACTCCCTTAGCCATAAGGAGCTATTCATACGCACCCGATGTAAAGAATCGGTCCGTTTGGTACCTGTGGGTAAATAGGCCTGCTAATAATAAGGAAGTTTGGGCGAGGATGATTAAGTTGAGATTTGCGGATGGGCGAGAAAGGGGGTCTACGATGTTGGATGCCCTTTTTTGTAGGTAACGGTGTAGTGGAAATTTGATTCCATGAAATCCAACCCCCGAATCTGTTGCGGGTTGAGTAGTGGTTGTGCGTGAATATACTGTAGGCTTTGGTGGTCTATCTGCACTGTCCCGTCCATGCCTGTCAGATGGCAATGCCACATGCACGATCACGAGCGTCTCCTTGTCGTGTATCAGATCGTTTTACTCGGGCGGGTTCCGTGACTCGTCCGCGATTGACTGCAGGCCGTCGACGAAGTCCTGTCACAGTAATGCTCCGATGGCGATGTCGCTGGTGTGGGTGATGACTTCGAACGGACGGTAAGGATCGGCGATGCGAAGAACAGGGGCTGAGCACAGAAAAGTTTTGAGCACAGGGAAGGCAACTTACTCTTTCTCCCCCCACCTATACTTAGTCCCTCTCCGCAGCAGGTTGGTCAACGGTGCAGTTAACCCTGCCATTGCGGTGGTAATCCCTCAGGCAAACCGCCAAGAAATCATTGTGGAAATCTACTAATCAGCTGTGCAAGCTCGGCCGGCACTGCTGCTGTCAGCTTCTCTAATTCGGACGGTGGATCCCACGTCGACCGCACGAGTGACTACAGCGAAGACTTTTGCTCCACGTGCCACTGCTCATTTTATCACCACGGAGATCACATGCGTCACTCGTCATGTGATCCCCTTCGTCCATTCTGGTAACACTACACTACGGCCGTTGATTTCACGGAACAACTGTCAG